TCTTCTCCGAAGGCTGATCCGAGACTGAAGACTTCTCGTCGAAACTGGGCGTTTATAACCTTGGCCGCTGCTAGGTAACGAACCCTCTGTTATAGCAGTGGAGACGTTGTTAGAACTACAATAGAGCTATTGTTGTTTCTTATGCAACGGTCTGCTCTAGCGTTTCCATAGAAGTGATTCTTCTGGATTCCAGACTCGTTACAATATGTTAGTGAAGGAGAAGCCAAATCTTCAGCTACTCAATAATTTCCCAGTATCTTATGGAACCTGAATGTTCATTACCGTCTTCACAAGAGCCCTCCACTGGTCCCTATCCTGAGACAGATCAATCGAATCCATACCATCCCATCCTAGGACCGCGCCATAGCTCAAGCAGTTAGTCGCTGGCTTTCTACCGCGGCGGCCCATGTTCGATCCCAGGTCTGGTCAAGTGGGATTTGTGGTGGAAAAAGTGGCGCTGCAACAGATTATCTCCGAGTACTTCGGTTTCCGATGCCAATTTTTATTCCACCAAATGCTCCAAAATCACCCTCACCTATCATCTGGGGCTGGTACAATAGGCCAGAAGTGGCCGCAGTACAAGGGACTTAGTCCCACCCCACTAGCAATAAAAAAATCCCATCCTATCTCTCTGGGATACATTTTAATATTTTCCACCTACGCCTTGTTCTTCCCATTGGTCCGTTTCCTTCTGGCTTTCCCACCACTATCCTATATGCATTCCTCTTTTCCCCATTCGTGCTACATGCCCTGCCCACCTCATCCTCCTTGACTTGATCATTCTAATTATACATGGAGAAGAGTACAAGTTATGAAGCTCCTCATTTTGCAGTTTTATTCAACCTCCTATCACTTCATCCCTTTTCGGTCCAAATATTCTCAATATCCTGTTCTGAAACACCCTCAGTCTATGTTCCTCCCTTAATGTCAGAGACCAATTTTCACGCCCATACAGAACCACAGGCAAAATAATAGTTTGGTATATTCTAATTTTTATATTTTTGGACAGCAGTTGAGAAGACAAAGGGTTCGCGACTGAATGGTAGCGAGCATTACCCGAGTTTAATCTCCTCTTAATTTCCTCCTCAAACAGATTTCGATTTGTTATCGTCGTTCCCAGATATTATTATTATCCTCTGAAAATCTATACTATTCATTTCTTAATTAAATATTTATGTTTCATTCCTCAATTCGTAATAACACTTAGTTTAATGATAATGAAATTATTATTACTGTCATAATTATCAGCTAATTGTTTGTTTACTTTTACTTTTATTCATTATTATTTCTTCCAAGTACTTACCTGTAATTTGTATTTGACTTTTAATAAGTTTGTCTATAATGTAATTCATTCATCTGCACTGTGCTGTGTCTGTAATTGGCCTTGCGGCTGTTGATTCGGCACATTAATAATAAAGAATTGAAATGAATTGAATTGAAATGTCTAAACTGTGCCACATTTTCAAAACATCTGTTTCGTATCGTTATGACGTGCCAATAACACTTTTGCTAAATTATAAAATATACTGTAACGTGTCTGGAATCCAGAAGAGTCGCTTCTATGGAAACACTAGAATAGACCGTTGCATAGGAAGTAACAATAGCGGCACTGTAATCCCAACAGTGAGCCGTTGTGTAGAAAACATCGAATCTCCACGGTTACGACGAATACGCGAAGCGTTCCCACAGAGACAACGCAATAACAATGGGTCATTGCGTAGGAAACGCGGAATCGACAAAGCAACGTTTCCACTGCTATAACAGAGGATTCATTTGCCTAGCAGCGGCCGAGGTTATAAATAGACCAGTCTTCATCGAGCCGTCTAAACAGTCAAGTCTTGGAATATCCGTCTAAGGAGTTAGTCTTGGAACAACCGCCAGAGAGGACAGTCCAGTGTGGGCCGAGATATTTTAAGCAGTATTTGTAACACTGCAAGTGGTAATGATTGTAAAGTGTGTAAGGTGAGCAAAAGGAATAAATTCGCTATACCGGACAACGGCGTTGACTTATTTGACACGATTAATGATATAAACTCCGTCTCAAGTGCAAACAATATATTTGTGTCTTTGATCTTGCTCCCTACACTACATGTTTCGGCCTCAGACGGCCATCATCAGGTGTATAACACTCACGTCGCTGTCACACTGCACCCAGTTCAAAATTTAACATCTAAAACACTCTCCCTGTCATTATCAACTTCTACTTCGTTGATAGCTGTCCACCCGTAGATTACTTCACACACGTTAATTTTGAGTTTATTGTAATAGCACCATAATAAAATCTTTAGTTCTAATTTTAA